TTGAATGGGAACTTGGAATCTAAGAATACTGAGATAGATCCTTGATACCGTGGAAGGGGTTGGTCCTTCCTCAGTTGGTATGCCAGACTTTTTGACTCCCAAAGGAAGGCTTTACCTCCTCTTAGGAGTGTATTTGGGAAGTAAAGGGGATTGAATGGGGTTCAGAAGAGGAGGTGAGGGAGGGGAGTGGAACTGCATTTGTATGCAAAATAAAATTCATTTTGTGAATAAAAACAATTATCAACAAAGCATTTTGAGAGAAGTGCAGAGGATAGAAGTCTTGCTTGTAAAGTTTCAGAGGAAAGTTTAAATCTTTATGGTGGCCATTTTTTGTTTTTGACTTAAGATCCTGTGGTTGTGGTTAGCTGGGTCTGAATAATCAGCTGAGGTTAGGAAGATACCATATCTATTAAAGTAATCTGTGGTTCTGGTTAGCCTTGACTGAGGAATCAGCCATGATTAACAAGATTACAGAACTAATGCAGTGAAATTCATGTTCCTTGGATAATTGATTCTGGTCAGCTGGAGCTAAGACATTAGCAGTCATTAAGAACAGAACTTTATCACCTGAGGGAAATCTTCTGGGAAGTGTTTTCTTTTTTTTTAATTTTTAAATTTTAGTTAGAAAGAAATTTTTTTTTACATGCCAACACAGGTCCTTCTATCTCCTCTCCTCCCCTGACCCCACAAATAACACCCCACCTATCCCATACACTTTCTGCTCCATAGGGATGGCGAGGCTCCGTGTACGAGGTCCTCAGGGTCTCCCACATCGCTGCAAACTAGGCCTAGGCCCAGGCACACCACCGATGTCCAGTTCAGAGAGTATCCCTCCATGTGGGATGGGCTCCCAAAGTCTATCTGGGAAGTGTATTCCTCCATGTGGGATGGGCTCCCAAAGTCTATCTGGGAAGTGTTTTCTAGGAGCACAAGTAGCTGTGTTCCAGAGGGGGCCAAGCTTGCACCTTCTGCTGGCAGGTAGACTTGGCAATGTGTAATAGCCACCCAGGTGGTGATGGTTTTGAAGGCATGAATGGGTCATATAGAGAAATTGAGGAGTTTCTCTGGAACTGTGAGCGTCCAGGAGAAGTCATTGGCAATGGGGCACCCTCAGTGGTATTTGAAAGTCAAGGACTAAGCAGCTCATGCAAAGAAGTCAAGGCTTGGCACCCAGAGGAGAGCCTATGAGAGGTTATATGTCAAACTGCAGCTCAATTGCATCAGAAGACCCCAGTTTTTTGGAGATATCAGTACCATGGCCTGAATGCCACAAACAGCAGTAGTAGCTGAGTGGAGTCATTTAGAACCTAGAAGATGAGCTGTGTGTACTGCAGTGGGCAGAGCTGGGGAAGTGATCCCAGCACTTTGAAGGAGTCCAGAAGATTATGTGTGAATCCCAGATATTGGAGGATTCTATTTTTTTTGCTTAAATTTGATCTTTACTATACCAGTTTCTCCCCCACTTGAAGTTATTTTACTGGAGACCACACTTTAGAGACTTTCAATTTTTAAAAGACTTTGGATTTTAGGAGATTAGTTACTCTCAAGGAGCTGTAATTTTGAATGGTTTACATTTATAAGTACTGTGGAACTTTTAAAGTTATTTGTGACCTGGGAGATTAGTTCTAAAGGAAAAAATGTGACACAATTAGAGTCATCAGAGGAAAGAGCCTCAGTTGAGGAAATGTCTTGAAAAGATCCAGCTGTAGGGCATTTCTCAATTATTGATCAATGGAGGGAAGTCACTATCGTGGGTGTTGTCATCCCTGGGTCTTCTAAGAAGGTAGGTAGATTACAGCCTTTGGTGATTCTCCAACAGATTTTATGGTCTCTGTGGACTGGAATGTGGGTAGGATGGGGGAATTTGTCAGGCTAGACTAGGGAAGGGAGGGGGAACTGTGGTTGAAATATAAAAAGAAAAAAAAATTAATGAAATAAATAAGTTTATATCAAAACAAATAGAATAAAAAGAAGGTGAGCTGAGCAAGCCAGGGAAAGAATCTGAGGAAACCAATTCCCTCCACGGGCTGTGCATCTGCTCCTGTCTCCAGTGGTCTTCCCTGTTTGGGTTTCTTTCCTCACTTCATTCACTGCTGAACAGCATTGCTGAAGGGTAAGCCAAACAAATCCTTACTTTCCAAAACCTGCCTTTTGGTCATGGTATTTCATCTCAGCAATAGCAATCTGACACCCAATTAGTCTCCTTTGGGTTAATCCAGGAGAATTGAAGGATCAGGTGTTCAGTGGATCCATTCTGCTCTGTGTGCTCCCAACAGGATCAACCTACATTTTCCCTCATTGTGGATCAGTGCTTCCAGGCATGACATGACTGTTGGCCTATTGAACTCTGTAGCTCTGATTATATACAGCTGACCTAAACAAGATTGTTCCCATCAGTACTCTTTCATGGTGTAGAGGCTCCTAGGCCACTCTTCTGTCAAAAATGTAGGCAGTTAATAATAGCAGACAATGTTTCTTTTCTCCCCATGGATATAACCACTGAAAATTTTCCAATAGTTCTGGGAATAGCGGAGCACACTGTGCCCAAGTGTTGGGAGGTGAGACTGCCTCATGGATCCTATATAATCTATAGAGTATATTCCAGGAGTGGCAGATCTTCATAGTGAGCCTTCTCTCAGCAAATGAACAACAACAAGAAGAAAACCCTCATCAAACCCCACGATTGACAACATGTTTCTAAGGAACCCCAAATAACTCATTGCTTCACCAGCTAGATTTGTGTGGAGTCTTATATTTCCTTCTGACACTGGTGTCTCATGGAGGTTATATAGGCATTCTTCTTGTAACCTTACATAAAGTTCACACAACATTCCAAAAGCATCTCTCAGGCAGGCTACAGAACTGGCCATTTTGGTCTGCTGAATGCATCAAGGAGAAGCAAGAAGAATCTCTGAGAGAAATGACCATTCTCCTTTGTTGGGAGCCAAATCTCAGGGCTGGCCATGAGATCCTAGGCCATGCTTGGCAGGCCACATAGTTATCCATTACAAGCAGCTCCTTAGAACCTCAGCTCAAGAAAAGAAACAACCCAGTCCTCCACTCACAGGCTCAGTCACCTAAGCAACCCTTCCTGGACCTCTTACTCATAAACTCTTTACCCTGCCACACATCCTCTTTGTGGCTTCCTAATATCCTGCCTATACCAACACCTGGTGCACAAACAACCCATTCAACCCCTCCCGATATCCTGACTATATAAGCTAGTCTGATATAAGTAAAGTTTGCCAATTGATCAGAATGCTGTATCGTGGTCCTTCTGTGTCTCTTGTCCCCATTCCCTTTCCCTGACTCTCTTGCCCCAGGTTGGTGTCCTGCAGGACGGGACACTCCTTGAAGTCTTCAGTCAGGTGTAGAGGGTTACAGTAAGATGTTCTGCAGGAAGAAACTACAGTTAGACTTGTGTTTTCAATCCTAGCACACAGCAAGCTCAGGAAGAAGAGGAAGGGTTATGGGTTAAGCATGAAGTTTAAGAGGTTGTTTTTAGAAACCAAAACAGAAACTAAAGAACCACAGAGACATGGAAGCCATACATTCTGGAGCCCAACCCATCACAGCATAGGGAAGAAGTGTCAGGCGTCTGGTTAGAGTAGTTCCTGTTTCTCAACAGATGCTAATAACATTCTCATGACAAGGATCAGAAGCAAGCCCTTCGCGGACACACATCTTGTGTTTGTGAGTTTTGAAAGGAGACCAACTATCTGCAAACTTCTGTCAACTGGAAGATGCCATGACCCCATATCTTACAGTCTTGCTGTATCTTGGTGAGATACCAAATTGTGATGAGGAATTCTTGTGTGAGAGACAATCCACCTCACAACCTTGATTCGGGCCATTAGGATGTCTCATCAGCTTCAGAAGGCACCAGGAATTGGATAATCTACTCATCTTTCAGTGCAAATACTCACAGGTAACTCTCTTACAGGAATGAGTCTGGACATCAGGATCCCAGTGCTGGCAGGTGAGTGTCTTCCCAGCTCCCAGATTGGACACCATGATGGGGAATCACAGGTAACTCATGAACAGAGCAGATGGAGAACAGACAGTGTGACCTGATGCTGGAGGGCTTTAAAAGTCATGGGTCTGAGAGCTTGTATCTGAGGGTGAACTCTGGGGAACCAACTGTCATTTCTTTCAGGGACCATTTCTAAACCTACACTCAGGGCAGTGCCAAGTAATGTGATGGCTGCTGGGGAGCAATTGACATTTTTGTGTGAAGTACCCTTGGTGGCCAAGGAGTATCGTCTCTACAAAGAAGGAAGTCAAGAATATCTGATACCAACAGCCATTCTAGAAACTGAGAAAAAGGCCACGTTCTCTATCTCATATGTTCAATGGTACAATGCAGGGAAATATTGGTGTAACTATACAAGCACCAAGGGCACAACAGAATCCACTGATATCCTGGAGCTGGTGGTGACAGGTGATGAACGCTCCCCCAAACTCAGGATTGCCTTAAGGGAAGGAATATGTTCACTGGGGACTCCCTTTCTCAAATATGAGAAGATGGGAACCAGCTTCTTATAAAAGTCCACACAACAGGCTTCTTCTTCTCTCCTAGGATTTCACCCCAACAGCATCATTCTGGCAGCCATTCCCAGACCTGTGGTATCTTCAGAAGGGAATGTGACCCTTCATTGTGAGTCCCAAGAGCCATTTAACACATTCATTCTAATGAAGGATGACAAGAATTTCTCTAGTTCTGTTAGCTCGCAGAATATGTCCTCTAGACTATTTGGAGCCGTGTTCACAGTGGGTCCTGTGACTGCCAACCAGAGGTGGAGGTTCACATGCTATGGTCATCATGCAAGCAGCCCCCAGCTGTGGTCAGTGCCCAGTAACCACCTAGAGCTCCTGGTCTCAGGTAAGGAAGTGCAGGAGTTTCATTTGAGTGTAATTGTGACTGACACAAGATTCCAGCCAATGACCTGATGTGTGGTAGTTGACTGAGAGCCAAGGCTATAGAATTCAATGTCACAGAATGTGTGATATAGCTGAACGTGAGGTGCCAAAACTAGGGTTGAAATAACAGTGGAATCCAAGAGCCAGAGAAAGTGTGGTCTTTTTGTGGGCTCTGCTATTGCAGATCAGCTCCTGTGTCAATGACAATTATGATCTTCTCGGTGGTATTTCCTTAGCAGATGCACCTCCTTTCTTTCTAAGTCTTTACAGGAACCATTCACAAGCTCAACATATAGGCTGAACCACACTTGGTGATCGCCTCAGGGAGTCCTCTTACCATCTGGTGTGAGATGACACTGGAAAAACCAATATATGTGATATATAAAGAGGGAAGCCAGGAATCCTGGGGCCTACACATCCAAATAGCCCATAACAAAAAGAGAGAAAGCAATAAATCAGGATTCAGTGTGTTGTTGTGTATAAGAGAAGGTAGAAATACTTCTCTTATATATCTTCATTTACATATATATGATATATTTCATTCAATTTCATTGTAATCCATTTTACATTTAAATTGAACAACATTAATTGTAGCACAATATTATCAAAACTTTGCAACTATATATTTTTGGAAGTTTTAATCATTCCAAATACAAATTAAACTATTTCTTGAATTACATTTCTTTATTTTTACTCGCGATTCCCTTAGTATCTTCTATTGTACTATGTGCAAAATTTTTCTATTTAATTGTCAGTATGCTGAAATATATTCTGGTTTTAATCTAATCTCTCTTAATTCTTTAACCATTCCATATGAATCTGGTGGTGTTTCATGTTTGTGAGATGTAAGTTTGTGTCCTATTAAATTAAGAGGAGTATGTCTTACAATGACACCCCACAAAAGAGGTGGCATGTAATCCATTCTGGTGTGAGGTCTTGTAGCACGCTGGATCAACAAGTTGCCAATTTCATGTCACAAGGCCTGAAATTACACTGGGAATCACTTTGTCCCTTTTCTTGACAGACACAGCAGGAAGCCATGTCCAACCCAGACAGTCATAGAGACCCCCTACCTATAATGTCGGACATTGATTTTTCAGAAAAAATTCCTCCTTTTTAAAAAATGATTCCCTAGTGCTCTTTTGCTCTAGTAACTTTTCTTTCTACTTCTTTTTTTTTTAAAATATACTCTTTCCCTTTAACAACTAAAACAAAAACCCCAACAAAATAATGAGGCAAACCTCACCATTCCATCTGTGACACAGCTGCAGGCAGGGAGATATCACTGTTACTCTCAAACCTCTGCTGCATGGACACAGCACAGTGACACCATAGATCTGTTGTGACAGGTGACAGGATACTTAAAATCTTAGTTGCAGATGTCACTCCCAAGAAAAAGTGATGTAGCCGCATAACCCTTCCATGTGCAGCCATGGGACACAATTCAGGCTCTATGAGCCCCTTTCAGTTTGCACAGACTTATTTCTTCTAGGAGTCTATGACAAGCCCACCTGTTCACACAGCAGAAACCTGTGGTAAATTTAAGATGTCTGTGACCCTCACTGGTAGCTCATATGATAGGAGTCTATGACAAGCCCACCTGTTCACACAGCAGAAACCTGTGGTAAAGTTAAGATGTCTGTGACCCTCACTGGTAGCTCATATGAAATTTATGACTGGTTCATTTTGAGTAAGGATGGTCAGAAATTCTCCACCCCTCAGAGCTCAAGAAATACACACCCTGGGCTTTTCCAGGCCACGTTCCATTTGGGTCCAGTGTCCTCCAACAAAGGTGGAGTTTCAGATGCTATGTCTATTCCACAATAATCCTCAGGTGTGGTCAGAAGCCAGTGAACCCAGGAGCTGCTGGTCTCCTGTGTGGAAGCCTCAGATCTCTGTGGAAACACATTCTGTTGGGCATGGGTTCACAGTGGAGACCATGGTGTGTGATGTGTCTGAACAACTTGGGATGGGATCATTGACACAGCATATAGACTGTGGTAGTTAATGTACAGAAAATGGGGAGAGGGCATGAGAATTCTGAAAGCCTCAAGGAGTAGGAGAGTGATGAGTCTTCCCATGGCATTGCTGTTCCTTTTCTAGTCAGTGGTAAAGTGCAAGGGCAGCAGAAAGTTTGATTTTTACTGAAAAACTGTTCAATATCACATTTCTCATCTGCTTCCTTTCAGGGACACTGAAAAAACCTTACTTATGGGCAGAGCCACGTTCTGTGATTGTTTCAGGGAAAGCTGTGACAATCTTGTGTGAGGGGACCAAGAACACCCAACTATATTTCCTCTACAAAGAAGGAAGCCCAGCACCTTTGGATAGTCAAACTCCACAAGGTCCCAGTAAAAAGGCCATATTTTCCATAGCATCCATGGAAAGACATCATGCAGGGAAATACAGGTGTTACTCTTATGGATCTGCAGGGTGGACAAAGCATAGTGACCCACTAGAACTGGTGGTGACAGGTGAGACAATAAGTCTTCAGTCCTAGCAATTTCCTTGAGGAAAGGAGTGTGCTCGCCTTGGTGTCTCCTCTTCAATTTCTAGAAGATGGGGGCAGTGTTTACTTTCTGTTTTCCACTTAACAGGCTTCCTCTTCTTTCCTAGGAATTTACTCCAGCAAACTCACCCTGTCAGCCCTACCCAGTCTTGTGGTGACCCCAGCATGGAATGTCACTCTTCAGTGTAGGTCACAACAGGCATATGACAGATTCATTCTAATGAAGGATGATCAGATTTTCTCCAGTGCTGCGTCCTTAAAGAACATACACCATGGGCTCTCAGGAGCCCGATTCAGAGTGGGTCCTGGGACCCCTAACCAGAGGTGGATGTTCACATGCTATGGACATTACCTGAGTAACTCCCAGGTGTGGTCAGTGAGCAGTAATGACCTACAGCTCCTGGTCTCAGGTAAGAAAACTTCAGTCCTGACTTTGAATGATATTACCACAGACACAGGATCCCAGGGAAGGACCTGATGTGTTATAGGTGATCAAGAGACAGTGCTATAGACAACAGTTTCACCAAATGTGTGATAAATCTAGACTTGAGGTGAAAAAAATCTTGTTACCAATCATAGTGGACCTAATGAGTCAAGGGAAATTCAGGTGTTTATGTGTCCTTCTGCTGTTGTAGATCAGCTTAGTGTCATTGCAAATGTGACCTTAAATGTGCAAATGTCCTAAGAGATGCACTTGTTTTTCTTCTGCATCTTTCCAGGGAACCTTCAGAAACCCAGCATGTGGGCTCAACCAGGCTCGGTGGTCTCTTCAGGGAGTTCTGTGACTATCTGGTGTGCGGGTCCCATACAAGCCCTTACATATGTGATTCATAAAGAGGGAAGCCCAGAAGCCAGCCACATAGAGACCCAAGTAGACCATAATAACAATGCAAAATTCTCTATCCCATCTGTGTCCAGTCTGAATGCAGGGAGATATAACTGTTACTCTTACAGCTCTGCTGGGTGGACAGAGCACAGTGACATACTGGAACTGGTGGTGACAGGTAAGAGGACACTATGTGTCACAATCTTTGCCCCTGTCCTCAAGAAATAATCTCCCAAAGGTTCAATTTCACAGCTTCTCTGCTGCAGACAATGTAGCCTGTGTTTATTGTAACAGGTTGTCTCCTCCTCTCCAAGGTGTCCATGATGGCAAACCTACTCTGTCAGCTTTGCCCAGCCCTGTGGTGACCTCAGGTGTGAATGTGACCCTTCAGTGTATGTCTTCCAAAGAATACGATGGGTTCATTTTGACTGGAGCAGATCTGAAGTTCCCCAGGTCACAAAAGGCACAGTTCACAAATCAAACAAAGTTCTATGCTCTGTTTCCTGAGATCTCTGTGACATACAGCAAGAATGGGCCCTTCAGATGTTATGGATACTATACAAATTCCCAATATGTGTGGTCAGAGGCCAGTAACCCTCTGGAGATCCATGTCTCAGGTGAGGAAGTGTCCTCTTTTATTCAGCTGTTTGGCATATGAAACCCTTTGTCATTATACCCTTTGGCCTCAAGGAGGGTTAGAGGCCATAATGGCTGAAGGGAGTACTTGACTGCTAAGGTTGAGAGGATGAGAGGCCATGGAACTTGTAGAGGAAGATAGGATTTGACCAGAGATAGCTGGGTGACTTCGTTGACCTTACTTAAATCTTAGGTATAAAATTTGTGTTGTAGAGATACCCATGTGTAGTGGATAGGCATAATACCACTTGTCACTGTTTTGACCAGTTTTGGTGATCTCAGTGCCACTCACAAGAATGGGTCATAACATGTTATTGATACTCTGCAATTACCAAAAGTGTGTGGTCAGAGACCATTAAACTTCTGGAGAGTTGTGGCTTCTGTGATTTCCCCCACATCTTCCTCAGGAAGCTTCTCTTATGAGGTGTGGGAGCCACACTTTCTGTGGGTATAAGCATAAACATTTAGAATGCAGGTGGAAATTATATTGGCTTAGGAACAGGGAAGTATTGGTTTCTCCTGTAGAGTCCATAGCAATTCCAGACAAGAGTACAAGTTATAAATATTTACATGCTTATTATTTTCATATACTTTGGTGATGAGATCAGCTAATTAGTAGAACACATCTGCATTTATGTATATTGTATGCATATCTTTATGTCTTTGTGTTTGTATTGTTTGTTACAAGCAATGTGATGATTAGATAGTGACAAGTTTAACAGGAGTATCATGGGAACTTTGTAGGGTGAGTGCAGGTAGAGAACCCCAGACTGTCCTTGTTTTGTTCACCTTATACTCATCAGCCCCTAGAACAAGACTTTTTGGCTGGATCTTGGGCTCTCCTCAAATTATTCAGTGAAAGTTAATCTCCTGGAGGAATGAATGTCCAGGCTTCCATGCTCCATTCTGACCTGGGAGCAAAGGATTGCTCCTTTATGCTGCAATAGGAGACCATATTTTTCCATCTGAGCTCTCAGATAAACTCTTTTTCAGAGAAGTGCCCTCCCAAGAACTTCTGAACTCATAGCATAGTCAGGCTGAAGGAATCTAACCAAAGGTCACAGGAAGCTGTCCCTCCCAAGAACTTCTGAACTCATAGCATAGTCAGGCTGAAGAAATCAAACCAAAGGCCACAGGAAGCTGTCTACAGGAGAGAAAGGGTTGATTCCAGATATTCATCATGTTGAATGATGAGAATAATGTGTATTTCTAGGAAATAGGATGATGAAACCGGGGAAATAATCAGTTATCTTGAATACTTTACACACCCAACATGTCTTTAACCAGGATCACCTCAGACCACCAGCCAATTACAAAACATGTCACAATCTATGTTAGGGGGGACAGAAAACTTTATTTGGGGTGTTATCACGGAAAGTCAAATTCTATAAAGAGTTGGGAGCTGTTACAATGTAATTGCTGTGGTGTCTGGTAGCTTTGATTGGTCCTGACCTTTCTGTCCACAATCTGCAGACTCAGAGCCCCAGGATCACACAGTGGAGAACCTCATTCGAATGGGCATATCTGGCTTGATCCTCACAGTTCTCGCAATTTTGCTCTTTTATGACTGCCGCAGTGAGAGAACGAGTTTGAATGCATCCCATAAGTGAAGAAGTGAGACAGACATAGTCCTTGCCTGGTGACCAAGTCTAGGAAATACATTTGAGTATCTCAGGTGTTTTTATTTTTACAGGAAATTTCAATGTTTAATATTGGGAATCATTGTGAGGAAATAAATATCCAGCAAGTAAATTTGTTTTGGGAACAGGAAGATACCTAAGTGTAAGTGTGGCAAAAACACAACCATCACATTAAGGCTCTTACCCTCTATCATGGTGTGGACTTTGAAGATTTCTCTATCCTCTCATTTCATTCCAGGAAGTGGGGGGAACATGTTGTCCTACCATTGAGTTTTGGGTCCTCACTTCTCTCTATCTTCTGCTTCTCACAACTTTCATGTAATATTTTCATTTTCTGTAAATCATTACATTCTCCATGTGAATCGTGAGTCACTTTTGTGTTTTGTGAGAATTTAGTTGTTACTATGTCCAAGGAGTTTGAATCAATAAAACAAAAACAGAAGAAAATGAGCACAAAACCAATTACAGAATGAAAACACTGACAAAATATATAAAAAATCACCATAAAACACATCTCCAAACACTGCACTCTGTAACCATTCAGTATTCATCACATGCTCTTTGATGGCTTTCTGCTAATTTATTTTTTTATTTTAAAGCAAAGTCTTTCCTTGATTTCTGGAAGTTTCACCTTATGCACCGCAAGTACACTCACCTCCCAGTTCCTCCATATCCAACCCTGACAGCTGCAGTAGGCTTCCCCAAATTAATTAAAAACAATGCAAAACAAACAAAATACCCCACCATGCTCCTCCATCTTTCCAACACCCCTTCATTCATCCTACTGTCATCAGGATCTGTTGTGGATAACTTTTGTCCAATCAGTCAGATCCTTGGTGTAATTCAGTGCTTAATTTTGTGAATCTCTTGTTAGAAAACATTCGTCAAGCAAATATGTTTTGTGTGCAGGAAAAGATCTAAATTTTCGGATGAAGAGCTCTTCAACCACCACATTAAGACTCTTACTCTCTACACTGCTGTGAACATTTGAAGATTTTACATTCCTATAGTTCCAGTGCGTGATATGGGGTCACATCTATTCCCACCACTGAGATTTGTGTCCTCACCTTGTATGTTTTGTGCTTTTCCTTAGTCTCATTGGTATTTCCCCTTATTATACATTGCCACTAACCAAATGTGTATTAAGGGCCTCTCTGCACTAGAGAGATATTTAAGTCCCCAACTAAATATAAAATTTCATACATATGTGAGTATCACCTTTCTTCTTTACTACTGTATCTCTCTGGGACCTGGATGAATTCTTCCAGAAGTCGATTGGTCCACAATTCAATGCCCACAATTCAGTCTTTCCATTTTGCACCTGCACATTTACATTTAAGTTCTCTAGCATTCCGGGACAAAGTAAACAGTATTCACACAGGATGAACAGGTAGTTTCTACCAGGGACCAGTTCAGTATGACTTTCAAACTGAAACTGATACATACAAATGAGATAGCATGCCTGTGGATAAACACTTGAACACATTGTGGGCACAAGACAGTGAGAAGAGGTAATACAGTACTCAAATATGGAGAGAGCACAGCTACTAACCCTCTCTTGGAGCCCTGACTCTACAACATCTACCCAGTAGGAAGAAATCTCCCTGCAGTGAGTGATCCTTCACAAGGCTAGGTCTCAGGATTGCACAGTGTTAGCTTCCTGTCTGAAGTTTGGGAACTTAAGTTTAGTTCTGTTTTTCAGCTCATGAATTTGATGACCTTTACATTTTGGATCTAATGTATCATCCCTATGAAACACAGGAAATCACACAGGACTACTCTCACCATAAAATTTGCATGAGCAAAACTCCTTTGTATCCCAAGTGCATTGTAAAATACCCTGAAAGTTAACCATCCTTACACCTTAATGTCACAGGCGATCCTGATCCTATAAATATGGTGCAAATTATGCTGACATTAAACAATCGGTATCATGCAGAAGCTCGTGGCTGAGATGCTAATAAGATTTAAGTTAGAATAGATATTTGTTGTTGACCAGGCATTAAATCAAAGCCGTCACAAAGCAAGAAGCATTCTGAACAATGAAATAGGAACACGAAAGAGGTATGAATACTAACAATATGCACCTATGGATATCATGTATATTGCTCAAATGGGTTATGAATCATAGGAGCCCATTTAGCAGAATAATATCAAATACCATGAGAATGGCACATTTTCTTCTCCATATCTCTATGCTGGCTGCTTTGTGTGTCAACTGGAGAAAAGTTAGAGTCACCAGAGGAAGGAACCTCTATTGAGGGAATGATTCGATGAGATCCAGCTATAAGGAATTTTCTCAATTAGTGATCAGTGGGGGTGGGCTCAGACCATGTTGGGTGGTGGCTTCCCTGGTCTGCTGGTCCTGGTTTCATTATAAGGTGGGTTGAGAAAGTAAGTAAGCTGAACCTCTATATGGCTTCTGCATCTGACCATATATCCTGGGTCACTCAGCCCTATTTGAGGTCCTGTTCTGTCTTCCTTCAGTGATGAAGCATAAACACATATGACATATTGGTTTCAAAATAGTGTTGTGGTGTTGTGAGTGACCTGACCATGTTTTTGAAGGGATTGTGGAAGGACATTGGGAATTTGTACTAAAAGCCTTTGAGTGTTGAGATACATCAGTGGGATTTGAATGGAAACTTGACAGATCCTTGATTCTTTTGGAGTGGTTGGTCCTTCCTGAGTGTGGTATGCCAGACTTTTTGACTCCCCAAGGAAGGCCTTACCTCCGCTGAGGAGTGTATTCGGGAAGTAAAGGGGATAGAATGGGGTTCAGGAGAGGAGGTGACGGAGGGGAGTGGAACTGCATTTGTATGGAAAATAAAAATAAATTTCATATAAAACAACTATACACAAAGCATTTTGAGAGAATTTCAGAAGATAGACGTCTGGCTTTTAAAGTTTCAGAGGAAAGGTTAAAGACTCTGTTGGCCATTTTTTTTTAATTAAGATCCTGTTGTTCTGGTGGTTTGCAAGATACCATATCTATTAAAGTAATCCTTGGTTCTTGGCCTTGGCTGCGGCATCAGCCATGATTAACAAGATTACAGAACTACTGCAGCGAAAATCATGTTGCTTGGATAATTGATTCTGGTCAGCTGGAGCTAAGACATTAACTGTCATTAGGAAGAGAACTCTATCACCTCGGTGAAATCTTGTGGGAAGTGTTTTCTTTTTTAAAAAATTTTTAAATTTTAGTTAGAAAGAAGATTATTTTACATGCCAATCCCAGGTCTGTCTACCTCTTCTCCTCCCCCGACCCGCCCCAAATAACACACTACCTATCTCATACACTTTCTGCTACATAGGGATGGCGAGGCTCCCTGTACATGGTCCTCAGGGTATCCCACATTGCTGCAAACAGGGCCTAGGCCCAGGCACACCACCTATGTCCAGCTCAGAGAGTATCCCTCCATGTGGGATGGACTCCCAAAGTCTATCTGGGAAGTGTTTTCTAGGAGCACAAGTAGCTGTGTTCCAGAGGGGGCCAAGCTTGCACCTTCTGCTTGCAGGGAGACTTGGCAATGTGTAATAGCCACCCAAGTGGTGATGGTTTTGAAGGCATGAATGGGTTATATAGAGAAATTGAGGAGTTTCTCTGGAACACTGAGAGTCCAGGAGAAGTCATTGGTGAAGGTGCAGCCTCAGTGGTATTTGAAAGTCAAGGACTAAGCAGCTCATGCAAAGAAGTCAAGGCTTGGCACCCAGAGGAGAGCCTATGAGCGGCTATATGTCAAAGTGCAGCTCAATTGCATAGAAGACCCCAGTTTTTTGAAGATATCAGTACCATGACCTGACTACCAAAAACAGCAGTAGTAGTAGCTGAGTGGAGCCATTCAGAACCTAGAATATGAGCTGTGTGTACTGCAGTGGGCAGAGCTGGAGAAGTGATCCCAGCCCTTTGAAGGAGTCCAGAAGATCATGAGTGAATCCCAGATATTGGAGGATTGTAATTTTTTTCTTTAATTTGATCTTTACTATGCCAGTTTCTTACCCCTTAAAGTTATTTTACTGGAGACCACACTTGAGAGACTTTGAATTTTAAAAGACTTTTGGATTTTACGAGATTAGTCACACTAAAGGAGCTATAATTTTGACGCATTCACATTTATAAATACTGTGGAACTTTTAATGGCATTTATGATCTCAGGGATGAGTTCCAAAGGAAAACATGTGACACAAGTAAGAGTCATCAGGGGAAAGAGCCTCAGTTGAGGAAATGACTTGAAAAGATCCAGCTGTAAGCCATTTCTCAATTATTGATCAATGGAGGGAAGTCACTATCATGGCTGTTGTCATCCCTGGGTCTTCTAAGAAAGTAGGTAGTAGTTGGTGACTCCCCAGTGGAGACTTTATGGTCTGTAAGGACTGGAATGTGGGTAGGATGGGGGAATTTGTCAGGCTGGACTAGGGAAGGGAGGGGTAACTGGGGTTGAAATATAAAAAGAAAAAAATTAATGAAATAAAAAAGTTTTTACCAAAACAAAAAAAACAAAAAGAGAGTTATCTGAGAAATCCAGGGAAAGAGTGTGAGTAAACTAATTCCCTCCAGGGGCTGTGCATCTGCTCCTGTCTCCAGTGGTCTTCCCTGTCTTTTTGGTTTTCTTTCCTCACTTCATTCACTGCTGAACAGCATTGCTGAAGGGTAAGCCAAACAAATCCTTACTTTCCAAAACCTGCCTTTTGGTCATGGTATTTCATCTCAGCAATAGCAATCTGAACCTAGACACCCAGTTAGTCTCCTTTGGGTTAATCCAGGAGAATTGAAGGATCAGGTGCTCAGTGGATCCATTCTGCTCTGTGTGTTCCTAACAGGATCAACCTACATTTTCCCTCATTGTGGATCAGTGCTTCCAGGCATGACATGACTGTTGGCCTATTGAACTCTGTAGCTCTGATTATAAACAGCGGACTTGAACAAGATTGCTCCCATCAGTATTCTTTCATGGTGTAGAGGCTCCTAGGCCACTCTTCTGTCAAAAATGTAGGCAGTCAATAGTGGCAGACAATGTATTTTTTTCTCCCCAGGGATATAACCACTGAACAGTTTTCAATACTTCTGGGCATAGTGGAGCACACTGGACCCAAGTTTTGGTAGCTGAGACTGCCTCATGGATCTGATATGATCTATAGAGTATATTCCAGGACTGGCAGATCTTCATAATGAGACCCTGTCTCAACAAATGAACAACAACAAGAAGAAACGCCCCTCCCAAACCCCACGATTGATGACATGTTTCTAAGGAACCCCAGGATAACTCATTGCTTTACCAGCTAGATTTGTGTGGAGTCTTATATTTTCTTCTGAT